AAATAAATTAATTAATACTTGAATTAATATTTAATTATTTCTATTTATTTAGTTTATTTCTATGAAATTTAACCCTTCTCGAATTAATATAACATATCAAAATGGAAAACCTTTAGTACTAGTAGATAAGTCATCAACTCAAAATGGTAATCGAAAACTTCTAGATAATGTTGCTGATACTATTAACAATTCAGAATTTTGGTCAAACCTTTTGTTATTACAACATATACTTTATCCTTTGTGTGGTTTTTTAAATAAACTACAAAAAGATACTGCACGATTGTTTGAAGTGGTATATTGTTTTGCATCTACAATTAAAATTTTTAAAAAGCATCAAGATTTAGATTTTGGCTCTAAAATGGTTAAAAGAATTGAGAAGCATTGAAAAGAATGGGAGCACCCACTTCTTATTCTTTTAATCATTCTTCATCAAGATTATAAGTTAGAAAAGTTTCAATCTACAAATAATAATTTAACCTGGACTCATATAGGTTAATGGTTAAAATACTATTACAATGCATTCTTTGGCACTGTTCTTTATCAATTGTAACTAAAATGATTTTATATAAACAAAGTGAAGATCCTTATGACTATGAAACTTTTTTTACAATTTAATGGTAATTTAATGAACTATTGGGATTCAACAGCTGGTATTGGACCAGAATTGGCAAAAGTTGCAATACATATTCATGGAGTTTGTGTAAACTCTGCATCTGTTGAAAGGTTATAGAATAGTATGGGTTTTTTCAACAAATAGAAGAAATTGATTAAATGTAATAATATTTTTATTTCATTAAAATTAAAACAATAAATATACTAACTATTTTTTATATATTTAAATAATTATAGAATAAAAAAGCATTGGCAATGAGCTAAATTCGAAGTGATATATTTTACTATCAGCAAAAAAAAAAGGCAAAAGAATTAGATCCAAAATTCAACATTTACATATGCCAATTGTTGAGAAAGATTTGAATAGTTCTTCACAAGTTAATATTATTAAGACAGATGAAAATATTGATAATGAAGATGATTTATTTTTAAATGAATTTGATGAATCTTATTCTGAAAAACAAATACAAAAGTGGAATATATTTATAGAAGAATGGATTCGAACTATTGAATATGAAAACAAATGTGATGATTCTAATGATGAAATATTTTTAACTGATGAAATGGATAATGATTTTAATTTTGGCGGAAAATTTATACATCCTGCTGATGATCAAATGACAAAATAGCTGTTAGAAACATTATTTGTTTCCAATTTAGAATTACCAAATTATTAGATCTTTTTAATAATCAGGTTCGTTATTTCTAATTATTTGTGATTTTACTATTTATTAAATTAAAATATAGAGACAAATAATTTATATAAGTTTAAATTAAGGTTAGAACCAATTTTATTGCTAATTCATTTTGGAGTTTATACAATAGACAAATGCATTTTGTTACAGTTACAAAGGTTAAAATCAATAATAAAATTTGTAGCATGTAGAATAAGTTAGAAACTTTTATTATTAGAATTGTAATAATAGTTTTATTTTTTTATTAAAAATTGTACTATTCAACATTCTATTTTAATTCGCATAAGTACAAGAATATACAAATTGTAGAAAAAAAAAATGATAAATAAATAATAGCATATTAAAATCAACAATTTTTAATTAAATATTTATCAAGTACTAGACATATAAAAACAGTAATATATGCGAAAAGTATCTAGTAAGTTTTAGGTAAAAAACTATTTAATATTATAATACAAACTCTTGAAATTCATCGATTTAATCATTAATTAAGCAAAATATTTACCAACTATCTATATAGGTCACATCAGGTTATATAAATTAAAATGACTTAAAATGACAATATGACTTATGACTTGGTCACTAAGTCATTTAGATCACATCTGGTCATATACCAACACTGTAATAGTTAGCATAATAGTTAGTCTGATAGCTGGGAATAGCAGTATGTTAGTTGAGATATTGGAATCAGGTTTATGTTGTAAAATTGTATTTATTTTTTATTGGTTTTTTTTTTAATTTTTTTTTATATTTTTTTATATTTTTTTTGAAGTAAAAACATATGGACTTACGTGATCGATTTTGATTGGTCAATCACGGGGTCACCATAAAATAACACCCTTTTAATAATTATGTCCTTTAAAAAAATTAAAATTTCAAAAAGCTTATGATTTTTGGGCCAATTTCTTCATTTTCAATTATAGTTTATTTACTAGTAAATACAGTATTTTATGTTTTAAAAATTTTAATAAATAAGTTACTTTTGCTAAAACGCATCTATAGTGTTTTATTATTTATATTGCATTTTCTTTAAAACCTAACTAATTAATATGCATTTTCTTTAAAAACTAATTAATATGCAATACTTTAAGTAAAAATGCTTTACGTTCTCCAAAACTCTCCTAGACTTTAATTTTAGCATCAAATACTAACTTTAACATAAAGAATTTATGCTAAAAATTTTATAAAAAATTTATAAAAACATAGAAAACATATATAATAGGTACAAAATCATTACAAGTGCGTTTTATAATAAATATTATATAATTTTAAAAATTTTATTTTTAAAAAAAATTACTATAGCGCACATTAAATTTTTTTTGAGAACATAAAATTATAAATTTATGTTCTCAAAGAACAAAATTTTTTTTAAAAAATTCTTCACTGGTTACACTATGGCTAATTTATAGTTTAGTGCTTAAAAAAGTTTGTAATTTTATATTTAATTTATATATTTTATATGTATATTTATATTAACGAATAAGTTTATTAGATCTTGTCATATTGATTACAAATAGTAAGGTAAAAAATGAATTATACACATTAATTAAAAAGTTTAAATGCATTTATATATATATGCATAGACTAATTACTATTCTCAAATACAACTTCACCCTTCATTAGCATAAGGCTAAATCCTATATAGCTCTGGTATTCTACATTCTCATTAACAGGCTTAATATTATATTTTAACAAAACTTCATGAAATATGATTTTAAATACATTAACAGCAAAATATCTACCCGGGCAGGCATGTTTTCCATATCCAAATATTAAAAAGTTAGGCTCTAACTTTGTCGCTGGTGAATCACGTTCTAAATGACGACGCGGATTGAATTCTTTGGGATTCTGACCTTGAAATTTTTCATCGAAAGATATGCCATGTGAGTTTAAATAAACCATACGACCTATAATTTTAAATAATTAGGGAAAGAAATGAGAATTATTATTCTTTGAAGAGTAAAAGAATAAGAATCATGAAAAAAATTACCATTTGGTATTTGATATCCATCCGAAAATGTATAGTGAGATTCAGTAACACATTTACGCGGCAAATTTAGTAAATTAGAATTTAATCTCAAAGCTTCTTTAATAAAGCTATCCAATTTCACCATTTTATCAAGATCATCAGCTTTAAGTTTGCCATTACACTGTTTATTAATTTCTTGAGCCTCCTGATATAATTCTTGCCAATATTCTTTCTTTTTTGCCATTTCTAATTTTCAAGTAAAATATATTTAAAATATGGTTATTTCATAATGAGAAATAATATAATTTGACGAACCGTATAAAATATAGGAAGCAAAATTAGGCGTAGATGACATAGAAGAAAATATAAATAGTCCAATTAGGTCAGTAATAAGATTATAATCTACATTATTTGGATTGAGATCTGGTGCTATTTCTGAATCATCCAAACAAACTTGTAGAGCATCCGACTATTTTTGAATCAAATTAAAATCGTAGAATAATAATTATTAATAAAATCAACATTTTATAAATAACTTACGGGAGGAATCCAGGCGTCGCCTAATCTTTCTTTCTCACGGAAACGTCTTTCAATGACTGGCCTAATATGTTTATTAATTACAGTTCTATGTCTTGAAATAAACTTTAAAGGGATCCTATTATATGATGAAAAATAAATTTTATGTAAAAAATATATTAGCATGCATGGGTAGATTGGTTTAAAATTTTTTTAAATCATAGGAAAATAGGTTGACTTTTTCATCTTTTAAATTACAATCCAATATTGTTTACAAAAAATGATTTCGCCATACTCATACATTATAATATTAAGTAATTGCCTTTTAAAATTTATCATAATAATTAAAAAAACTCACATTGCAAATTTTTCATGAATCCAGGGATGTATAAAGGATAACATTTTTGGCGTAAAAAAAACTGATACAACTAAATTAGTAAAGTTTTCAAAGAGATCTATAACTTCCTCATGTTGAGCGCATTCCTAATTTTTTTTATAGGAATGACTAAGTTAATAATACGAAAGAATTTTTTACCTAAAAAAAATAAATAAATAAATAAAAGAAAAACAATACATACATCATCGATAATAATTTTCGTAGATACTCTCGAAAAAATTTTCAAAAAAACATTATATGGAATACTAATGACTTTCGGCTCTATAGTAATTAAACATTTCTTTTAAAATCAATGAAAATACAATTTATTATTAAAGTTTATGAGCTTACCAACACAATCGCCAATATAGTTGTCAATAGAATTAGAAATATTTTGTTGTAAAAGACCTGTAATATTGCCTATATTAATTTTGAAAAAGGTTCTAAATATTTTAGCAGTTTTATCAATATTCATCGCGACGTGGGGAAGTACATAATCCATCACTAAATTCTGTTTTCAAATTAAATGAATAGTTTAAAATTAATTAAAATATAATAATTTTACTACATTTTCTAGAAAATTTCATTTACTAACCGTATCAGTGCCCTTGTAAAAACTAAAATCATGATTTTTATTGAATACTTCATAAACCATTTCCTTTCCAGTTATAGTAACTACTTGGCCGAATATGTATAACGAAAATGTTTCGCCATACTAATAAGAAATCTTAAGTTACTATAATAAAACATGAAGAAAGAAATTCATTTGAAAAAAGCAAACCTTTTTACGTGACTCTGAAATTAGCTTTTTGCAATTCGTTGTAAAACTCCATGTATGTCCGATAATTGGATATTGATAATCAACGATGGGTGGTTCGTTCTAAGTTAACATTTATATTAGTAAAAATTATGATTAAATAAAATATTGAAAAAAACTTACTAGTTTAATTCGTCTCTCCTTTATTTGGAAATAAACTGATGTTAAAATTAATCCTACAATTAATAATTGAGCATAAATATTTTCTAACAAGATTTCAAACATTTTTATAGATTTTTCTTGTAGACTTTAAGATGTTATTGATCGAAACTTATATTTATAGACGACAATCCACATCTCGGTAAAATCTTATAGTAAGTCCTAATTCAGAAACCAATAATTCCTTCAAATGATAATCATGTGTATAATATACAGATATAAGTCGACTAGTTGATTATTTTACATATGTATTACACAAATCAGCATGATGTGGATGACCAAATTGTAAGGTGCGTAAATTCCTCCAGTGTTGGCCTATGATGATCTTAAATGATCTATATGACCTTTATATGACCTGTCATAGGTCATTCGGTCATAACGAGGATTTATATGACTTATGA